AGAAAGTTCACGGAAGCAGGAAAAAGATGTGAAAGGCAAAAATGCAACCGGGACATAGGCGGAAAGCAAGAAGGATCCCGGACCTGTGAAGTCCCCGGAAAAAACAAAAATCTCACAGCAGCAAGAAAATTCTCCAAAAAAAATTATTAATCGAATTAATTACAATCGCGAAATCAACTCTTCAACTCTAATAGATGAAAAGGAAATTTGTTTAAAGCTGCCCGATCATGTCATGTCAAATCGATGGGTTTCTTGCGGAGGTCAAACTTATGCTCCATCCTGGTAGTCCAAAATACCCTTTCCTCACTGTCAAATTGATGGGTTCCTTGAGGGGGATTACAGGGACTTGTCGGTTTTTAGTTCATAACGTAGAATTGAGCAAATGACTTGAGAGTGTTAGAGTAGAACCTCAAATATCTGCTGCCCATTTTATAAAAAGAAGGGACACATCTTCCTCTAATCTCAACTTTCAAGATAACAGCTATTAATCAAAAGGTTTGTCCATTGAACTGTGAAATAATTTTGTGGCACACTGCTATGCTATCTCTTCCACTCTCCAATGAAAATATCGGTGTAATCAACTGAGAATAGAATTTTATCTATACGTGAGAAAGCGAGTATTGTGATTAATGGTGCAGTGATTTAGAATTTCAAATTATAACTTCACGTCGTTTACTTTAGTGATAGGTTCAAGATGAAGAAATAATCCTACTCATAGTTCCAGATGAAAAAATTGTTCAATTTCCATTCATCGCATTTCTTGCAAAAAAGGTGAGCCATTCTGTAACGACCTATGCTTAAAAGTTCTTTTTTGCAAAATCTTTCTCAACTAATTTCGTTAAGTCTACACTTACTCTGTGTTTGTGTTTAAAACATATGAATAGTCGTAATAGCATAACTGTGTGAATCATAGCTACCACAAGAGCTACGACGATAACGAAGAACACTATCAAGAACAGTAACTGAAGCCCAAAGATGTGGAAATGCGAGTTAACTTACGATAGAAGAAGTTGTCCGCGTAACTCCCGATTATCTTGGTCGCAACAACAGCAAAGAGAAAATGCATGAAAAGATTCGAAATATAT